AGGGGGAGGGGGAAGGAGTGAAGGAGGGGAGACGGGAAGAGAGGAGAAACAATGAAATTGGAAAGAGAGAGATAGCGACGATAAAGGAAGGAAGTGGAGGAAACGAGAAGAACGAGAGCACCAAAAATAGATATTGAAGAGAGAGAGAGAAAGGCAGGAAGAGCGAGGAAGCGCGTAAAAGGAAAGAGAGAAATGGAAAAAAAACACAGATATCGAAAGAAAGACAAAGAGAAAATGTTAAGAAAGAAAGGGATAAAGGAATAGAGAAAGAAAGAAATAAAAGAGAAAAAAAAAGGCAGGCAGATCAGGAAAGCATAAGAGAGGAGAGAAATCGAGCAAAAAAAAAAAAAAAAAAAAAAAAAAAAAAAAAAAAAAAAAAAAAAAAAATCCAACCCCACTCCCCTCTCCTCACCCCCTCCACACTCCCCTCGCCCTCTCGCTCTTATTACCTCGCACGTTAACTCGGTAATTACCCCTTGTTTTCCCAGGAAACCTTATTAAGCCATGATAAGAGAGGTCTGCTAATGGTACCCGCGCGCCCTGCTCTCCTGCTTCCTTCTCCATCCTTTTTTTTTCCTTCTTGTCTGCTTTTTTTCACTGCTTTTTCAGATTTTCCTTCTGCTCTGCTATCTACTATTCATCAAACATTTTTTTCCCTGCTAGCTTGGATCCCTCCCCCCCCCCCTTCCCCCGCTTTCCTCCTACTTTATATACAACTTTCCTCTTTTTCAACCTCCTATCCCCGCTGACCCACCTTCTCTGCTGATTCCACACCCCTCCTCACCCCCCCCTCCTGCTTGTATTCTCATCTCCGCGGACTATCTCCTCTGCTTGCTGCTCCTGCTTGCTTTGCTGCTCCTGCTTGCTTGCTTCCCGCTGCTTCTCCTGCTTGCTTTGCTTCTCCTGCTGCTGCTTCCCGCTGCTTCTCCTGCTTGCTTACTTCCCGCTGACTGCCCTTCTCTGCTCAATCCCCTGTATTTCTCTGCATGGTTACACCCCCACCCCCACCCCCACCTGCTTAACCTGCTTAGTCGACTCCTTATCCACTTACGGAACGGAAGGAGAATGAAAATGAAAATGATGATTCGTGAGGATGAGTGATGAAGGTGATGATGATGATGATTAATGTGATGGTAATGGAGATGGTGGTGATGTGTGATGATGATGATGATGATGATGATGATGATGATGATGATAATGATGATGATGATATGATGATGATGGTGATGATGGTGATGATGATAATGATAATGATGATGATAATGATAATGATGATTGATAATGATAATGAATGATAATGATGATGATGACGATGACGACGACGACGACAATGATACTACTACTAATAATACCAACAACAACGATAACAACAAACAGCACCAAAAGCGCCCTGCACACGTCAAAAACACCCTTATCAGCCCGGCGTGTCCCAAGGCCATTAAAATCCCTATCAGGCCGGCTTCCTTTCATGAACGCCGCGCAAAAAAAAGAAAGGGTAATAACGGAGATAATGCAATAAAAAGGGGATAGAAGACGACGGCGATGATGACATAAATCCGTTCCAAGGCTGAGAATCCGCTTTTGACAATAAGAGCGTTTTTAGACTGCGGCAAGGGACACACGACGGCGGACGGGGGGGCGTGGGGGCGTGGGCGTGGGTGTCGCGGGCGTGGGCGTGGGTTGTCGCAGATGGGCGTGGGCGTGGGTTGTCGCAAGATGGGGCGTGGAAGTGGGTGTCGCAAGATGGGGCGTGGGCGTGGGTACCACATGGGCGTAGGCATGGGGTGGACGTTTAAAGTAAATAAAGGGTTTGGGGTTTTGAGAAGAAGTGTAGGGGGGGGGGGTTGCAGGAAGTTCCACCACTCTCAATGGCGCCCAAGTGACCACGATTTGCGATTCAACTGGAGTAGGAGGAGGAGGAGGAGAGGGAGGGAGAGAGAAGGGGGAGAGAAAAGAAGGAGAGAAGAAAAGGAGAGAGAGGGAGAGAGGGAGAGGAGAGAGAAAGAAGAAAGACAGAGACAAGAGTGAGTGAAAAGAAACCGAGAGACAAAGAAAGTAAGTAACAACATCCAAACACACGAGAAAAAAAAACGAAAAAAAAAAAAAAAAAAAAAAAAAAACACACAAAAACACAGAGAAAAACAAAAACACCCAACCCGCCTCCCCAACCAACCATCACTAATCCACAACAACTATTAGCGATCACCTCTTGACAAACCCTCCTTGTCGCGGGCGCATCTAGGGCATCGGGCTGGCACAGATGGCCCGTGGAAATCGTGCCCAATAAAAAAAAACAAAAAAGATGAAGTAAGTAACACACGCGCCCAAGCCGTCCGTAACGCATTGCCCAGACGTCGACCTCCAATTGACTGTGTGTGTGTTTTTTTTTTTTTTTGGGGGGGGGGTTATTTTCCCTCCTGAGATAATGAGTGGGCCAATAAAGGGATAGAGCTCCAAATATCTATTCAAAACACACGGAAAAAAAGAGATTAAAATAATTGAGAACCTCTAACAAGAAAGAGAGAGAGAGGAGATCAAAAGAGAAGAGAGAGAGAGAGAAAACGAAGAGAAGAAGAGAGAAACGAAGAGACAGAAGGGAAGTGAGAGAGAAAGAAGAGAAGAGAAGATAACAAAATAAAGTAAAGAAAAGAAAAAGAGAGAGAGAGAGAGAGAGAAAGAGAGGGGGTCCACTCTGCCAGGGCCCTTATCAGCTGACGCATCGGCGCTGGATTCGTCGTGGCCCCCGCCCGGAACCCAGGGAGCGACCACCTCCGAGCAACGACCACCGGGTGACGGACGGCGGAGGCTGCGGCGGCCCCTAAATGACACCCGCGATGCCCTACTTCTGCCTCATTGACACGTCCTGCGTCATAAACCGGCGGCGCTCGATCCCCGCGGAGGGACACACGCTGGGCGACGCTGGGTGAAGGCGAAGTGGGGGCGGGGGGGGGGTTTCCTACTCCAACTCCTCTCTTGATATTCCTGATTCCTGATCCTCCTCCTCCCCTCCTCCTCCTTCTTCTTCTTCTTCTTCTTCTTCTCTTCCTTTCTTTTTCTTCTCTTCTCTTCTCTCTCTTCTTCTTCTTCTTCTTCTTCTTCTTCTACATTACATATACTTCTTCTTCTTCCTTCTAAATCTATACGTTCTTCTCTTCTATCTCCTTCCTGCTCTCTCAATAACCGTATTTCTTCTAATTTTGTCACTGATCTTCTTCTGTGTGCTCCGCCAAATCCCACCTATCCGTACCATCTCTGTCGTCGTTGGCCTTCCTCCCTCTCCACACCACCTCGCCTAACCAACAGAACAAAACCATCAACAAAAACCAAAACACCACATAACCCACCCACCAAACAACACACACAGACAATATTTACACTCCTCACTCCCTACTAAGATCCTTCGCCACGTATCACTCCTCCTCCTCCATTCCGTTCACCCCAACTCGCCCACCTATACCCACCCCATCGGCGNCCCCTAACCCCCAACACGCCCAGCCAGACACCCGCGCACCCCCCACACCGCAACACAACCGACCCCACACACACCACACACCACACCAAAACACGCACACCACACACCACACAAACACCACAAGACCAAACCCAACCGAACGGACGACACGACCCACACACCACGCAACACAGCCCGCGCACACACCACGCGCGGTGAGCGCGCGCGCGGCCCGAGCGGGCCCGCCGCCGGGCCGCCGGCGCCGCGGCCGCAGCGGCGCGGGCGGCGGCGCGGCCGGCACCGTCCCGGCGCCCAGGGGCGCGACCACCGCCGTAGCAACGACCGACCGGGGACGGAACGGCGGAGGCGGCGGCGGCCCGGAAAGGGAACACCCGCGAGGGCCGGACGGGCGGCGCAGTGGAACGGCCGGCGGGGCAGGAAACCGGCCGGCCGCGGCGACCCCCGCGGAGGGACACACGCGGGGCGACGCGGGGAGAGAGGCGAAGGGGGGGAGGGGGGGGGGGCGGCCGGACGCGCCGAGCGGGAGGGCGAGGCCCGAGCCGCCGGCCGCCTGCTGGCGGGCGCGGCGCGTCCCGCGGCCGGGCGGCGGCGCGGCGGCCGACGCGCGGGCGGCGGGGCGGCGGGGCGGCGGCGGCGGCCGGCGCCGCCGACCGCCGGGGGGCGGCGGGGGCGCGGCGGCGGCAGGCCCCGCCCAGCCCCCGCCGCGCCGCCCCGCGCCTCCGCCTCCAGACTCCCAACTTAACAAACAAACAAGCTTCTCTCCACCACAAAAGCCAACTACCAAGAACGCCCAGCCCACCATAAAACACAGTACACAAAGAGACCCGCGCCCGCAAAGCCGCGGCCGCCGCCGCCGGGGCGCGCCCGCCCCCCACCGGCCCTAGCCCAAGCAGACGAAGTCCAGACCGACGCCGGAACACCGAACCACGGGATGCAGGGCCGACGGCAGAAACGCCGAAGACCCCAAGGGGGCGCGAGGGAACCGAGAAAGCCGCGCGGGGGCACCGCGCGGCGGAAGAGCGCAGGCGCGCCGGCCCTGCCGAGATACGCGGTGGCGGCAAGGGACCGGGCCGAGGCGCGAGCGCGAGACGCCGCGCCGGGGAGGCAAAGGCAACGAGGAGGGCGCGTGAAGGACGGAGGACGTGGAGGCGGAAAAAAGGAAAAAAAGGGAGGGCGCGGGACGGCACGGAAGACGGGCAGCGGCGAAAGCGGGAGCGAAAACAAAGGGCAAAACGGGGGCGGGGGACGGGCAGAGACGGCGAAGCGGGAGCCAAGCCAAGTCGGGGGGCGCGGGGAGCGGGCACAGAGAACGGGGCGGCGGATTCAACTCAACGGTGGGGCGCGTGACGTGCAGCGGCCGCACCGACAGAGGAGAGAGGAGCGGTGGTGGGGACCGACAGGCCGGCCGCACACGGCTCTGGAGCCCCGAGGTGCCGGCACAGCGAGGCTTGTTGAGGGCTGCCGGTGCCGCGCGCGCCCCGCCCATGCCAAGGGAGCCAGGGGCGCTTCGCTGTCGCTGCCTGAATGAGGGCTCTATCAAGGAACTGTTTCCAAGTTGGACTCAGACTGCACGTTCTAAGAATGAATATAATGCACAGGTATAATTAGTGAGGAAAATTGAAACGGGAGAGTGAAACAATTAAGAGAGGGACAGAGAGATTGAGAGAGAGAGAGAGAGAGAAGAGAGAGAGAGAGAGAAGAGAGAGAGAGAGAGAGAGAGAGAGAGAGAGAGAGAGAGAGAGAGAGAGAGAGAGAGAGAGAGAGAGAGAGAAGAGAGGATGAGAGAGAGAAGAGAAAGAAAGAAGAGAAAGAAAGAAAAGGAAAGAGAGAGAGAGAAACACGATCACTAAGTAACGAAGACCCGGGGACCTGCCCCTTCGCTCCCCTCTGCGCCACCTTCCCCTCGTCTCTCTCGTGCCTCTCCCTTTCGCTAAGAAGAACCTCGACGATATTCCTCCTTTGTCATCCCCTCCCCCCCCTCCCCCGATTCCCAGACCAGTCAAAATACCTTTGCTACTCCCACGACCCTCACAATACCATATATAATACCTATTTCTCCCCTCTATATCTTTCATCCTCTACCTCCCTCTGTCTCCCTCCCTCCCCCTCCTCCTCCTCCCTCTGGCTCCCTCCCCCATCCCTCCCCCTTCCCCGAGAGCACAAGGAGCCACTTAACAAGGCCATAACAGTGCCACAGTTTATCATCCTCTCAGTGCCGTTTAGTGCTACTTAACACAGCGTATTTGTTTTCGTTCGTCAATCATCTCGACAAGATAGGGAGGACGTTACGGAAGGGGGAGGGGGGGGAGGGGGGAGGTGGAAGGGCAGATAGGGGAGAGAGAGAGGAGTGAGGAGGAGGAGGAAGAGAGGAGGGGGAGGAGGAGGAGGAGGAGGAGAAGAGAGGAGTAGGGGAGGAGAAGAGAAGAGGAGGGGGGAGGAGAAGGAGGAGGAGTGGGAGGAGAAGAGAGAAGGGGGAGGGGAGGAAGAGAGGGGAAGAGGAGAAGACAGGAGGAGGGAAGAAGACAAGACAAGAGGAGGGGAGGAAGAGAAGAAAGGAAAGGAGAGGCAAAGGAAAGGAGAAAGTAGGGACAACGAAAGGAAGACCGAGAGAAAGACAAACGAAGAGAGAACCCCGCTTTCAAAAGCTGACAAAGCGAAACGTTTCGCGAAAGACCCCGCGAGCGATCCCCAAACACCCAACCCCACATAATTTACGATAACGCGAGCGCACAATACACCCGCACGCAAAACGCATTATTGCCCCCCCCTCCCCCCCACCTTACCCCCCGTATTCAAAACATCCTCCCCCCCTCTCGCCCCCCCCCACCCCCCCCCCAGACTTGCACTCGCCATTCGCACGATAAATAAGCCACCGAAGTGCCTCGGCGCCCTCCGGATAAGAGAGCTCCCCGACCCCCAGCTCTGAGGGGTCGTTCCCGGGGAGGAAGAACACCTGGATGAGGATGGAAGTGCTGTATCGCTTACTAAGATAGGGGTGAGGATAACCCAAGTTACCTCATCCTTTTGAGATGTAATTTTTTTTGTCTCAATAAACGTGTCAAAGTAGTAGTATTAGTAGTATTAGTAGTAATAGTAGTAATTAGTAGTAGTAGTAGTAGTAGTAGTAGTAGTAGTAGTAGTAGTAGTAGTAGTAGTAGTAGTAGTAGTAGTAGTATATAATAATAATAATAATAATAATAATAATAATAATAATAATAATAATAATAATAATATATTAACAATAATAATAATAAAACAGCGCCTCTCCGGACCTCGCACACACAAAAGTCAGCTCGTTTCCCACGAGCCTTTATTAAGCGCTATCGAGGTGAGTCTCCCTTCCTTCCTTCCTTCCTTCCTTCCTTCCTATCACCCCGTTCCCCTTTTCCCACCCGATTATCACCTTCCCCCCCCCCCCTCCCACGCGCGTTTATTCATCCGCGCCGTCCGAAAGAGGTCCCCATTATGGCTCCTCCTCGGTCTCGTTCGCTCGGGCCTCGGCGATCCTCCCTTCGCTGCCTGAGGTCCCCCTCGAGGCGGCTCCTCCCCTTGCCCCCTCTTTGTGGCGGGGGGCCGGCCTTCTCTCTCGCTGTTTATTTATGTGCGCCGCATTTCTCGCAATGGTCCACCTTCCCCATTTTCTCTCTCTCCCTCCCTTTCTCGCCTTCTCTCTCCGTCTCTGTCTGACTGAATGACTGCCTGACTGACTGATTGGCCGATTGACTTACTGTCTGTCCTTCCATCTCTTTTTCTCTCTCTCTCTCTTTCTTTCCCTCGCCTTTCTCTCTCCACTTCTATCTCTCTCCCTCTACCTCCTCCTCTCTCTTTCTCTTTCTCTCTATCTCCTTCTCTTTCGTCCTCGTTCTCTCTATTGCCTTCCCTTTCTTTCCCCTTCTCTCAATTCCCTTCCCTTTCTTTCTCTTTCTCTCTTTCCCTTCCCTTTCTTTCTCCTTCTCTCTATTTCCTTCCCTTTCTTTCTCTTTCTCTCCATCTCCTTCCCTTTCTTTCTCTTTTTCTCTATTTCCCTTCCCTTTCTTTCTCCTTCTCTTTCGTCCTCGTTCTCCCTATTTCCTTCCCTTCCCTTTCTCTTTCTCTCATTCCTCCTCCTCCCTTCTCCCCACCCCTTCCTCCCCCCCGAGGGAACAACACAATTAGCAGGCCTTCCATCCAAGACCGGAACACCACTTCGGTCCGTCTCCCTCCCCTCCTTCCTCGCCCCCAACTTATCTATCTCACTCCGTCCCTCTTTGTCTCCGTCTGTCATTCCATCTCCGTCTTTCTGTCTGTTATTCCTCCTCTATTTAGCCGCCGGGCCATTTGCCTGTTTTCCTTCCCCCATCTCCTCCCTCCTCCCTCTCCCTCTCTCCTCCTCTCTCTCTCTCTCTCTCTGTTTCTCCGTCTGTGTTTATTCCAGCCTTTTGTTCTCTGTTCTAACGTTTTCTCCTCCTATGGTCTTCATTCCCCCCACCCCCCCCCCCCTTCGCTTTACGTCTGCTTAACGCTTCTTTCGTTTTCTTCGTGACATCGTCCGTTTCGTCGCAACACAAACTTTGGTATTGTCTCCAAACCCAATCCGCTTCCCTGTCAGCTGACTTCTCACACACACACACACACACACACACACACACACACACACACACACACACACACACACACACACACACACACAACACACACACACACACACACACACACACAGAGGCATGCGTTTGTGTTCGTAATATTTATTGTTTCTACTTCTTAATTCCTCTTTTGTCGTTGTTGCACTAATCCCCTGCTTTCTCCCCCCCCTTCCTCAAAAATCCCTCTCCATGCCCCCTCCCCGCCATTTAAACCTCCCCCCCCCCCACCAGCATCACCTTTCGTACCCATCTGTTTACAGCCTCTCCTCCTCTCTTGTTTTCCATCTCCCGAGTCCCTCTCCCTCCCCTCTCCCGCTTCGCCCCTTCCCATACCTCCCTCCCCACCCCTATCTCCCCTCTTCCCCGTTCCCCACGCCTCCACTCCCTTCCTCTCCTTTCCCATACCCTCCCTCCCTCCCCGCCCCTATCTCCCTTCTCCCCCTCCTCCATTCCCATCCTCCTTCCCTTCGTCTCCCTTCCCACACCCTCCCTCCTCCCCCTCTTCCCATCATTCCCCACACCTCCTCCTCCCTCTCCCCCCTTCCCCACACCCCTCCCTTCCTCCCACCCCCTCCCTCCCTCCCCCCTCCCTTCCTCTATCTCCATCTCTCTCTTCCTCCTCCTCTCCCTAATCTCCCCTTCCCCCCTTTCTCGGCCGAGGACGGATGCCTCCATAAACGTATTTAGTGTTCCATTATGCTTAGCTCCGTCCGTCCGTCCTTCTGTCCCCTGTTCGTCCGTTCTCTGCCTTTCCTCTCTCCCTTCTGTTCTTCCCTTCTCTTCCCTTTCTCTTTTGTTTTCGCTGAATTGACAAGTGCGTGCGTGGTGGTGCGGGGGAAACATGCTTTTATGAGAAGAGATAGATAGATAAACAGATAGATAAATAAATAGATAGATAGATAAATAGATAGATAGATAAATAGATAGATAAATTTATAAATAAATAGACAGGTAGATAGATAGATAGATAAATATATACATAAATAGACAGATAGATAGATAAATATATAAATATATAGACGTCATTAATAGATATAGTTAACAAATAAACAAAACAAACAGACAGACATATCCAACAAATACAGCAGGCATAACCATTACGTAATGTAACCAATAGATACACTGTACAGATAAATAAGTGGCTGGATCTAGAGATAAGCCTTCAGACCTTTCCTCTTGGATTGAGGAAGAGGAAGTGGAGAGGAAGAAAAGAAGAGCAAGAGGAACAAAAAGAGGAAGAGAAAGCAAAGGAGTAGGAGGAAGACGGAAAAAAGAGTTAAGGGTTAGAGTAATCGCAAAAAGGAGTGAGGGAAAGGATGACAAAGAGTTAGAATAAGAAAAAAAACAGTAAAAGAAAGAGGAGAATTAGAAAAAGAAAAAAGTAAAAAGAGGAAGAGGAAGAAAAAAGAGGAAGACCCACTCTGCATATCACATTACTGAAGATCTTTTTCGTTCGGCACACGTAGGTGTCCGTCCGACGTAGACCTCCATACACGCGGGGAAGATTAATTAAAACGCTCATTTACATAAAAATAAAATTATAATATAATATAATAATATAATAATAATAATAATAATAATTAAAAAAAAAACAAACCAAAACCCACAACCTCAAACGACACGCATCCGACTCGAACCAACTTCCAAACTTCGAGACACCCCTTTCGTGAATGGGTCTCGACGGAATACACACATCCGCGCAGCCTCGTGTTCGGAGGACCAACACCCGACCGCGACTTCTGCCGAATTCACACGCCTCGCGATAGTTCCAAACCGCCAGCAGTCGGCGAGTCGGTGTAGCTGCAGTCCCGAGTGGATTCCTCTTCGCACAAAACCACTTCAGAGCATATCCACACAAAATCCGACACTGAGACGCAATTCAAAGCGGTTTGCGTCTAAGAAAAAA